TTTATTCCATTTTATTTTGTTTTGTTTTGTTTTGTTTTATTTTATTTTGTTTTATTTTATCCCATTTTATTTTATTTTGTTTTGTTTTATCCCATTTTATTTTATTTTATTTTGTTTTGTTTTATTTTATCCCATTTTGTTTTGTTTTATTTTATCCCATTTTATTTTATTTTATTTTATTTTGTTTTGTTTTATTTTATCCCATTTTATTTTACCCCATTTTGTTTTATTTTATTTTGTTTTGTTTTATTTTATCCCATTTTATTTTATTTTATTTTATTTTATCCCATTTAGTTTTATTTTTATTATGTATTTTTCTATTAAAATAACAAAACAACATATAGCAACACACAGCACGGTACACATATACATATCTGGGAGTCATGTTACCATGGCTAAGCCTCTGTCTGGCAACCAGTTTAGACTTGCCATTAGTATGTTAATGATTCCCCCAAATAAGTACCATAACATATACACAATACATACACACTTCTCCACAAATGATGTTATACATAACACTCACAAACATACACATACACACAAACATAGATTAAATAGGAGCATGTACAGAGGAGGGTGAGAGGGCAAAAGAAACAACAGCATAAAGTTAAGAAAAATAAAATTATAATATTAAAAAGTTAATAATTATATTGATTGCAATAGTAATGAAAGAAAAATCCATATAAACATGTGATAAATAATTCTTCATCAGCATGATAATGTGGTCTTGAGTAGGCTGAATCTGAGCCATCGCGCACAGCGCCAGTGGTTAGGGGCGAAAATGGGTCCTGGATATATCCAGTGTACTATTACATAATTACATTTCCACTTCTGATTCTTATCAAAACAGCAGGTAATTATTTTTTCTGTTGTGTCAACAGATCAGTTTATTGGTCCACCTCAACCAGATATAGATAACCTATCGCTAAGAAACTTGGTCAGTTGGTTGTCTCTCGCTTAAAAATGTTTTCTCCGGATCTTGAACTATTAATTCACATTTTCATTCCCTGCTGTCTTGATTATTCAGGGAGTCTGCAGGTCCTTAAAAAGTCTTAAAATGCTTAAAATTCAATTTTATCAATAGGCCGTAAATGTAAGTAAGTCTTAAATTTTAATTTGGTAGGTCTTAATTACCACAGACATTTAATCTAATTTCATTTATCCATATTTTAATTTGTATATGTCAAAATGAGTCAAGCTCTTCTCATTTCTGATGTTACAGATCTTTAAACATACCACTGAACCCAATACTGCCTTTACTTTATATTTCCACATACCTGTTGGCACAATAGTGATTAACCTAACTCACTCTAATAACTGTATTCCTACATAAAGCCTTCCTCTGCCCAATACCACATGTATACTTTCTTCCTTTATACTTACCTGCAATGCTGGAATAGAAAAAGATGATTTGTCGAAAAATCAGTCTTAAATTGTCCGTGTTGTGAAAGAGGACAGTTACACCAAACAGTGCAGTAAGAAAAACATTGGTGCAGCTAAAAATAATTTTGTTGGATGTCATTTTAAAAGTTTCGTGTCCCCTTGCACGTACACAGGAAAGAGTATTTCGGGCTCTGCTTTGCATCTGCCTCAGTCAAGGTGCTCTAAATCGTTTACAGCTGCTTAAAAATGCAGCTGCCAGGCCGTTAACTAGAACTCACCATCAGTCACACATTACACCTGGTGTTGCATCCCTCTGTGGCCTTCCTGTAAAATTCAGAATAAACTACGTGATCCTGTTGACTACATATGAAGCACTGCATGACCTTGCCATCAGTTACATTTCTGATTCGTTCCTACTTCTCCTATCCTTAAATCTCGGCCTGCTGTCCATCACCTGCTCCAGCTGCAAAACAAAAGGTGATTGTGCATTCGCTGTTTCAGCCCCGACCCTCTGGAATCAAACTCCCTGATCGATCAGATTCACTGAATCTTTGGACAGTTTGAAGCAGCTTCTAAAAACCCGTCTTTATAAGCAAGCCTTTTTTTCTCAAGGTCTTTTTATTGGCATTTGAAGTCACACACGATGCAGTAAATCAAAAATACAGCTGACAAGTTTCTGCTCCAGCAGAGCCCCATCCCTGTTGTACTGTTTAGTAATCAAACTGAATCAACTGCATTAGTAATTACAAGTACAATGTGACAGAAATCGTATATGAGACACAAAAAATAAATAAATACATTAAATTTAAAAATGCAATGGACAAAAAAAAGTAGATAATAATGAGGCATAAGGAAAAACTAACAAAAAATAATTGAAAGCTACAAATAAATAAGTAAATTATATTTGAATTATTTAAATTAAATTATTTAAATTAAATATAGTAAATTATCTTATAGTAAATTATTTAAATTAAATTAATTAAATTATTTAAATTAAATATAGTAAATTATATTAAATATGGATAGTACAAAATGCAACATCAATGGTGTCCATTTTTTCTATACAGGTTAAAAATGGTTGCCATATTGCATGCAATTTCTGAGCACACCCTCTTATAGAATAACTAGTTTTCTTATGCCAAAGCTATCATATTTTTTGCTTAGCGACTAAGATGTATATCTTGTGTACCTACTCCAAATACTGCAGTAGTAGCAGACGGTTTCTCCGGCAACTTTCAAAAAAATGAAAGCGTTTTAAATATTGACTTCCAGAAACTATTTAGTTTTGGACAAAGCCAAAACATGTGTAAAGGTGGCTGGTGCTTGCCTGCATCAGTCACACATAGGGCTGGGCGATATGGACAAATATTCATATCTCAGTATTTTTAGGCTAGATGGCGATACACGATAAATATCTCAGTATTTTCTACGAAATGAGCCACATTTTTGTCACAAGCACTTTTTCCAAAAAACGACTGTGATCAAAATAAAATGCAAAGACAGGGTTTTTTTGCCCTGTTTGAAAATATGCAGCTGCACAACATGTAAATGAAACATTAAATAGAATAAATAGCAGGGCTGTACATTACATTTTTGCAGATAGTGCTGGAGCTACAGAGGTTTAAAGGTTTGCAGCACAGGACACAAAACTAACATGAGTATAAAGGTATCAAGTAGGTCTAAATCCACTGTAGTTTGAAACAATTAAAAAGCTTTGTGGGGGGAGTTAAGACGTAGTTTTCCATCTGTTGGCCTTTCAAATGAATCTAGTGCTGGAAAATGATTTAAATATTCTTATTTATTTAAGCTATTAATCATATTTATGCATAGAGCATCAACAGAGAGGCCGAGGCAGGGGAGGAACGAGAGAGACGTTTTGTCTGCGTTATATGTCGTGTATTTGAAGCGTCTGTGTTGTCGCTGCATTTTTAAAACAGATCTGTCACATGCATCCAGGCGCTGTCTCAATGTCACACATCAGACTACAACTACCAAAAAGATCGGCGATGGTCTATGATCCACCACACACACAAACTAGCAAACAAATACTCACCTGACACGATCAAACAGCTCTGCCTGTGTGCTACTGTGCTAATTTCATTCATCTCACAGACTGATTTAGCGTAGCACGTGCAACATATAAACTGATGTTGCACTGCAGACTAATGAACGGACAGATTGAACAGAGGAGCAGCTCTGTGTCTCTCTCTGTGTTGCTGGAGAACTTGAAAATGAGTAGGGCGGAGAGTGTGGGAGGGAGAGATGCCCACTGGTGTGGCTTTTCGGTAGAACAGCGTTAAGCAACTTGACCCTATATCGATGTAAACGGTGTTGTCTACATCTATATCTTGCTTGAAAATATATCAATATTTCAAACACAGACGTCGTATTGGCCAGCCGTAGTCACACATGGGATCGACACTAGGTTAGAGCTTAGCTAACTTTACTTCTGACCAGACACAGATCAGATCGTCCGTCTCCTGGACTACTGTGTGGACAAAGTGACCGTTTCAATTTTCGTTTTTATAAAAGTTCCCAACTGTACCTTTAACTCTACATGTGATAACACACTGACCTGTCTGACTGTAGTGGACGAGACTACAGGAGCAGAGCTGCCTGCTGCTCTGTATCATCAGTACGGACTGATGTGATGCTCCCAAAATCTAATTTAAATAGCTACATTTGGCTTTTTTTAGCCCCCTTATGACCGACACCTAATTGCATAGCAACAGTAAAAGCTCTGATGTGACACGGATGAAATCATCACTCGTCTGGCAACTAAGCCTCATCGCCGACTCATTCGCATGCTAAGAAAGTGCTCGGTATCATTTCGGGGTTGGGAGAAACAAAATTGCCAGGTTGTCATGGATACCTGGAGCACAGTGGATCTTGGTAGTATCCTGCTCTGTTTACTTTGGGCTGTTTGTGTAACCGGACAGATCCATCATTCAGCAGGAGCCACAGCCTACAGGTAGAGTCCAAACTGAGCGGCTCCACATCCATTAATAATCACAGCGCTGTCGGTACAGGATGGCCTTTGTGAAGCCTCTGTGCGGCTCCGCAGTGAGGTCCAGTCAGTGTGCTGACGGGTTTTTTTCGCTGACAGGACCGCGCTGAGGTTTTTACACTGTTAACTCGCCGAGTTATTCTGTGGCCTCTGTGGAGATCCCACAGGGCTGATGCATAGTGATAAATGCAGTGCTGCTCCAGTTTCATTTTATCAGTGTGTGGAGTGCTGGTGTCATGAAATATTGTGGGGTCTAGCAGAAAAGAGATCCTCAGGTAATGCACTGTGCTGTGGTGGAAGATAGAGCGAACATATACTGCAGATATACTCGTCTCATAGATGTAGTCGCTCTGCTAAAGACTGCACTCTTACTGTTCCCCTTGATGATTCCCCTGAGTTAACGCTCTGCCACTTAACGTAGATCCCCTCTAAGTTATCTATATAATGCCACATTATCTGAGCTCATTTATGCCTCAGTGCTATAAATACACACCTGCTAAATTACGATGTGAATTTGCTCCCGGCTTCTATAAATGCTTTTGCTTTTGTCTCCCCTTTTAGTTTAGTTTGAGAATTAATTGCGAATGTCCTTTTTTTTGTCTCTTTGCAGGGAAGGAACCCCTTTTTCCTCGAGCCCGCCATCATAATCGCCATCACCGACGGCAACAAGTTGACAAGCGGCGGTGGAGTCCAAGACGAGGTCAGCCAACATCAGAAGGGCTCTGTGCTCGGTTGGATGAAAACTCGGGAGCCTGTCTGATCACACGCCAACGTTTCACTTTAACACAAGCATCCATTACCTCATCAAACACCTTCCCTGTTTTCTGTCACTGTGGAGGCTACAGTTAACTCAGTGAACATACGTTGACACCACACAAATGACCTAAGTGGTTACATTGCAGCCTTTATTGATTTCACTCAGTACTGAAACAGTTTCAGAAATAGTTGTTCCCATCAGATACTTAGACACAAAACATGGGGAGATAGGGTTCAGGCTGAAAGTTACTCTTTAGATATCGTCACATTAGAAGAAAGATTGAAATGTAGGTCAATTTTTATTAAGTCACGTCATGATTAAAGTTACAAAAAAAGACATGAACATACAAACAAGCAGACACAGAAAGTAGTATTTATAAATAATTTAAAGCATAATGAAAAGCAGCTGTCAGTGTCGTTACTTTGAGTTACATATTTGCAAAGGAGTGGGAGGAAGTACAAACTTACTAAATCTCACCCCTTCTCCATGAGTCATCCAATAAAATAACACACACAGCTTCTTTATACATATATAAACCTATACCTAAGATTCTCTAAATATACCTTTTTTTTTTATTGCTTTTTAACTTTGTCACACAAACATAACCCATGTATATCTATATAATATTAATTCCCAAATATGTCTTACAGAAACCTATCTTCGTATGTAATATAAATTATCAATCATGCGTGACTTAAAAGTATAAACTAGTCAAAATGTATGGTATATATAATACCAGCTGTCTTTGCCTTACAAAAAAATACATATAAATATTGATATTACATATATATCTTCATCAACTTGTCCTGCTATCTTTTTATATACTTAAATAAGTAAACAAATGAATTATACAAAGTATAAATATGTTATTGTACCAATATATACTTGTGTGTACACCCACATATATTTTAATTGTTGATTAACGTGTTGATTATTGTCTCAATTAATTGTTTGATCTATAAAGTGACAGAAAATTGTGAAGAAAATACCCCTCATGACTTCCCAAAGCCAGAGGTGATGAATTCAAGTGGCTTGCTTTATGTGACCAACAGTCAAAAACCAAAAGGTCTTCAATATTATCTCATAAGAGACTACAAAATCCAGCAAAAAGTCACATTTGCGGTCTTTAAAATGTTGGTAAAAAGTGTCAAAAGTTCCTTCATCATTTTTTAGAGTCCATAGTGATGTTTTAATTTGATTGTTTTGTCAGACCAACAGTCCAAATCCAAACGATCTTCAATTCAATGTCATAAAAGACTAAGAAAACCAGCAAATATTCACATTTGAGGTCTTTAAAATGTTTAAAAATTATAATGAAACTTTTTGCACTCTTTTCTGAGACCAGTGTGATGTTTAAAATTGATTGTTTTTTTTCTGACCAAGAGTCCAAAAGCGAAAGTATCTTCAATTCAGTGTCATTAAAGACCAAGAAAACCAGCAAATATTCACATTTGAGGTCGTAAAAATGTTAGAAAGTAGTGCAAAAATTCCATCATAATTTGTAGAGTCCAGTGTGATGTTTGAAATCGATTGTTTTGTCTGACCAACGTTCCAAAAACCAAAAGATTTTTAATTTAACATCATAAAAGACAAAGAAAATCTGCAAAAATTCACATTTCAGTACCCTTTATGTTAGAAAATAGAGTAAAAAGTTCCATGAATTTTTTTTTTTAGTCCAGTGTGATGTTTAAAATTGATTGTTTTGTTTGACCAACAGTCCAAAAGCCAAAAAATTTGTAATTTAACGTCATAAAAGACTAAGAAAATTTGCAAAAATTCACATTTGAGGTCTTTACAATGTTAGAAAATAGTGTCAAAAGTTCCATCATAACTTTTTAGAGTCCAGCACTATGTGTTAAATCGATTGTTTTGTCTGACCAACAGTCCAAAAACCAAAGATATTCAATTTAACAGTAAGATTTAACAGAAAATCTGAAATTTACATTTGAGATGCTGGAACTGCCTGATGTGCTCCAATTAAATCATTTTAAACTCAAACTAATAACTAAAACTAATAACGACAGCAGAACTACAAATATCAGTAGTCTGTTGCCTTTGAAAAGCCGTGAACACGTTGATTCCTTTGTGGCTTGCTCGTCAGAGTAAATCTGCCTCCCAGTGACTCAGTAACTCGTTCTGCCTTCAATTATTAATTTATTTCTGGCTCTCCATCTGTAAGTTGCCATGTCTGTCATCCAGGTTGACTGTTAGTGCTGCTGCTCCCCGTGAGACGGAGAGGACTTTCAGTTTTGTAGCTTGGAGGTCAAACACATACAATTAAATCGTTGATTCTGCAGCGGCGGTCTAATTTATGGGCTCTGTGATAATTCCAGGTTTGTGCTTGTTCAGACTGGGCACAGAGTGACGTTTGGTGGGCAAGTTTTGACTTTAATTGCAGCTCTCCTGGCAGTTATTTAAAAGTCTGGGCTGCCTGAGGATTGTCTGAAAAGAGAGTTTCTAAGAAATCCTGTGTTTGAGGAGCAGAGATGGAGAGACGCTTGTTACTGTAAGAGGAGCTCAGTTTGTAGAAGGTGTCTGCTTGAACATTAGCATTAATTACGGTTGTTTAACTACCAACCTTAGATGTGCTCTTTTGTTCTTGGTGACAACCCAGACTAGTGGTGGGCAATATGAAGCACATTTTCTGTGACAGTCTGTAACACTGGATGTGGTACATTTACAGCAAGTTCAAGTTTAAAAAAAAAAAAAAAAAGGTCTGTAGATGAGAGCCACATGGGAATATGTGTTTTCGGATAATGCAGTGAATTAAATACCTGATAGATTTGTCATTAACACTCAATCCTCTGTTTCCTTCCTCCACCGTCCAGCTCCATCTGCCTCTGACCACCCCGCTGCCCGGCAGTGAGCTGACCAAGGAGCCCTTCCGCTGGGATCAGCGTCTGTTCGCTCTGGTGCTGCGCATCCCCGGCAACGCTTCGGTGGAGCCCGAGCCCCTGGGTGGCGTCCCGCCTGATGATTCTCCAATCACTCCCATGTGTGAGGTCACTGGAGGTAGGCGGACTGAGTGCAGGCTGGTGTTTGCTTAATGTATAGTGTGTAGTTAAAGGGGCAGTCCACCAATTTTACACACAAAAGAAAATTACTCATCATTAGAATAATATGATGTCTAACATCTGCAGCTGTGGAGGAGTTTTGTCAAGTCCAAGAAATATCTTTGGTTAGACCAGGGGTAGGCAACCTGTGGCTATTTAGACCCTCTCCAGTAAAGTAGCCACCGTGATTAGTACTTGCACTTACTTGTTGGCACAATAATGATTAACCTAACGCACTCTAATCACTAGAATGGGGCGTGAGATGGATCGGTGGTTTGGCAGGTGAAGAAGGAGCTGAGCCAGAAGGCAAAGCTTTCGATTTACTGGTCCATCTACGTCCCAACCCTCACCTATGGTCATGAGCTCTGGGTAGTGACCGAAAGAATGAGATGGCAGATACAAGCGACTGAAATGAGTTCCCTCCGTGGGGTGTCTGGGCTCAGCCTTAGAGATAGGGTGAGGAGCTCGGACATCCGGAGGGAGCTCAGAGTAGAGCCGCTGCTCCTTCGCGTCCAAAGGGGTCAGTTGAGGTGGTTCGGGGATCTGATCAGGATCCTCCTGGTCACCTTAGAGGTGTTCTGGGCACATCCCACTGGTAAGAGGCCTCAGGGCAGACCCAGAACACACTGGAGGGATTACATATCTCATCTAATATGGGAAAGCGTTGCTGGGCAGAGGGACGTCTGGAATACTTTGCTCAACCTGCTGTCTTTGCGACTCGGCTTCAGATAAGTGGTTGAAAAGCAATGGATAGATGGACTCTAATAACTATAGTCCTACATAAAACCTACCTCTGCCCAAAACCACATATATACTACTTACCTTTGTAAGGGACAAAAAAGTAAAGACTACACAGTCATTCTCCACCTCTTCTTCAGGAGTCAGACAGCTGGCTAACAAAGACATGACAGTTTTATTCTTTATTTATGTTCTTGATCATCTGCACACCAGAATATTTTAGTTACTTGTTATTGTTCACAGAGTAACAGCTGATTGTTTGTAAATGGCTGTTATTATGACCTTTATCTGAGAAAAACATTTCTACAGCAGAGCCCGTTGGAACAAGCCGGGACAAGCTCAAAGTATTTATAACATCAGATCAAAATAGCTATTTGTCGAATGCATTCTGCAGCGCAGCGGATGAATCATCTCTATCAATACAAAGAAAGAGGAGAATAATGGGTGTGTTTTCTTGTATTTTTTGTTTTGGAGAGGGAAAAGAACTTGGTGACAGTGAGGAAGCATGCCTTGGCAGCTGTTTCTCAGTCCAGTGGGGGACAGCCCCGAGCTCTGTCTCAGCACTGTCTTGCTCAACATTCAGAGTTACTTGTGTTTACAGGTTTGCCAGTGGGAGCCGAGTACAAACACAGTATGTGCTTGTTTTAACCACTGAGGCGGCCTGCTGGAGCTGTTGTGAAGCGGGTTAGCGCTTTGCTCAAGTGCACTTTAGGAGTCTTTGTTGATTAAAGGAAAACTTTGTCCCCCAAATGACCATTTGTACATCAGTTACTCAGCCTGTCCTACGCTGAATTCTTTAAGAAAACTTTTCTCGCATGCAAACAGTGAACAAAGAATCAAAAAAAAAAGAAAATTAGTGATGAATTAAAGTCATAGTGGTCCGCATTTAATGACAGCAAAACTGTATCAAAACATCAGCTTACAAACTCTTAACACAAACTCATGCAGTATAATCAGGATTTCATTTATCCAGTCAACCGACAGCGCTCTGATGGGGCGCTAAACTAAGGGGCCATACACATGCCGCGTTTTTTGCGCCCTCACATCAGTTGTTTTCACTGTAGACACGCAGCTGGCACGATCAAACACCAGAGCAACACTGCATGCACGCATTCCCGAGCCCATATTTTTCATGGCGCGATGGCTGCACCCTGAGATAACTGAGTCCAACTTTTGGAACGCAGCAGCGTGCAATGTTATGACGAAGAACAACCAATCACAGCCGACAGATATCTTTCCCTTCTTCCATAAATATCAGTCTGTGGTAAATATGGAGAAGAAGGCGTACACACTTATAAACAGTTCCTGGAAGAAGATCAGCTCTGCACTCAGGATTTCAGGTAAATAGGCTATGATACGGTGCTTGTTAAGGTTGCTTAGCAACCTCAGACGCAACCTGCCACAACACTCTTGAAAGCTGGCACAGAAAAGGCACAAGGGTTGCACACAATGCCTGACCTCGCGTTGTACAGGTGGTTGAAGATACCGCATTTGAAAATTTTATATTCTCTCTTTAAAGTAGTTTTACCTGACTGAACACAGGAGCTGCTGGTCTACCACTGCCTCAATCAGTTAGTTACTTTGTGTTATTGTGAGACTTTGGTGAATTTGAAGTCACCCTCTAAAACACCAAAGTCACACAATAACACAAACTAACAAACTGATCCGAGCAGACGTAGACCAGCAGCTCCTGTGTTCAGCGAGGTAAAATCACTCAGCGGAGTCTGACTTTGAAAGGAGCATAGATGAGTTTAATTTTCAGTTGGTTTCCCCGTCGGAAACTTCTGTCTGTTTGGGATGTACCGAGCATACAACTGGATAAATGAGACTTAGATCAGTGGCTCCCAACTAGTGGGTCGCAGGTTCATTCTGAATAGACCACAGTTAACTTGCAAACGTGTCAAGTTTGTAAAAACCACACTTTATTTAAAGCACAGTGAATTTCCGGCACAAAACTTTTATTTTGAAGTGTAATTCTCTGCCGTAGAGTGAGTAACTAACGGACGCCTACTTGACAGAGACAACAAACTAGCTTGAGGACATGGCGACAGGCAAATATGATGCAAATATTTAACTGTGTAGACCTTGAGCTAATGACTAAGAAGAAATCTGGACCCCGTGGCTGGACCAGTTGGGAACCACTGACTTAGATTATACTGTGAGATAGGGCTGTCCCAAATGCTTCAAATGCTTTGAAGCCTTTACCATTATCATGGTAGTTGACATCTAAATCAATATGTAAATGCTTCTGGGGGGTTTTTGTTTTTCTTTTTTTACTATGTATGCATTACCCCAAAAATTTTAAATAGCCCATGAAATAAAGAATAGCAGCCTAATCCAACATTATTAAACACTGACATAGGCTATAGTTGTATTTATTTATGCTGTTGTTTCAAAGCTCCAAAAATGGTGTTCGGGACAGCTCTACTTGGTTTGTAACCAGGAAATACACACAGACACCAATGGTTTCAATTCATTAAGAATCTTCTCAACTTTGGATTCTCAGTTGACAGTGGAGGCATGCAAGTTTCTTTACAAACTCAGTGTAACATGGGGGAGGTGGTAATTTGGGTGGTATTCCTTTAAGACCCAAAAGCTCAGATTTTCCCACCTGGTCCAGGATTGGCACCGTCTTTGTCCCACTTACAGGCCTGTCACGATACTTCCAGGCCTATGACTTTGATCCGCTGCCTACCTACCAGTTTTAAAGAACATCCTCTTATAGACGTGGACTTTTATCCCTCCTGTCTCCAGTCCTCACACTGCCCGGCTGTGGAAGCAGCTGGCAGGAGGAACGCACTAGAACGATGCTGATGGCAGGTTATGATTAACACACACATAGAGAGATAGAGCCGAGCTCACCAAAGCCCTGTGTGGCAGTCGGTGGTGCTGAATGCAGAACATGACACAGCTCCATTGTCAGTGACAGTCTACAGTACATGCTGCCTGTCCATTACTGCTGATGGCAGACCTGACACAAAGCCGCGGCCTATTGAAACCAGGGAGTGAATGGGTGCATAACAAGGTCACTGGAGGTGAAGTTGGAGGCAGCAAATGGCCAGAAGGCTGAGTTAGACTAATCGGTTGTAGTTTCGCAAGACTTTCTGTCTGATTCATGGGCTTTACTCATGTGACCTTCACTGCCCTGTGACTGATGCTGTGACAAATAAACGAAGTAGATTCAGAGCTCTGGAGCTACGTTTCATGCAAATGTACCTCTTTGCATGCCGGTGACATCTAGTGAGTGTAAAGGACTGATGCGGCCCCATGAAGATGAGCACAGTGTAAAGTGGAGAGCGCTTGTAATCGTACTGTATCTATAGTCTGATACTGTAGTGTTTGAGTTAATCTAAGCATGCTCTATATTTAAATATGTGCTTTTATCCAGCATTATTTAATAGATAGATAAACTTTATTTCGGTGTCACTCCATAACACACATTAAAAATACATGAGGGTACAGAGGGAATATGTTTATAAAATTACAATATTCAATATAATTTACCCCCCTCCCCCTTGACAAAATTAAAAGTGTTGGGGACCACTCAAAAAAGAGTTGTGAGACTACGGAAGGGTATTGCATTCACTTGACAAATAAAAAAATAATCTGTTTTATTGGGTATTTTTTTTCTGTTTTTCTGAGTAATTTTTTTTATTTTTCTGTTTTTCATGGGATTTTTTTCTGTTTTTCGGTGTAATTTTTTTTTCTGTTTTTGATGATAATTTTTTCTGTTTTTCATGGTATTTTTTTCTGTTTTTGATGATAATTTTTTTCTGTTTTTCGTGGTAGTTTTTATTTTGTTTTTCGGGGTAATTTTTTCTGTTTTTCAGAGTATTTTTTCCTGAGTTAAGAGAGCAATAGAACAGTTTAATCCAGTTTTACTTTGCTTTGGGTTTGAGACACTGGGAGATACTCTTGTCTTTAAGTCATATAGATGGTGTTATCATTAGTTTGTCGATTTTACGCAGGCACCTTAAGACTTTGGGGTTGTTCAGACGAAAAGCCCATTCAGATCTGCTGGACATTGCAGTGTTTCTCCAGAATCAGTTGGACACATATGGCAAAATACATCCATGGATGCAGGCAGGGTCCAAAATTAACACTAGCCACTAGCCAAATACTAGTAAAATAAGCAAGTGGCCAGTAACCTTGCTTCATTCACCAGCCAAAAAAACAATGGTAATCTACTGAGTGGCTGGTAAAGTTTGAACATTCACTAGCCATTTGGCCAGTGAGTCAAAAAGTTAATTTTGGACACTGGATGCAGGTGTCACTTGCAGGTGCCAGGTGGGAGCTTCTCGCAAGATTTTGAAGTATCTTGTCTCCCTGTTCAGGAAAAAAAAACATCACAAAAAACAGAAAAAAATTACCACTAAATAGAGGGGAAAAAATACTCAGAAAAACAGAAATATTACTCAGAAAAACAGAAAATATTACTCAGAAAAACAGGGAAAAAATACTCAGAAAAAAACAGAAAATATTACTCAGAAAAACAGAAAATATTACTCAGAAAAACAGAAAAAATACCATGAAATACAGGGAAAAAATACTCAGAAAAACAGAAAATATTACTCAGAAAAACAGAAAATATTACTCAGAAAAACAGGGAAAAAAATACTCAGAAAAAAACAGAAAAAATTACTCAGAAAAACAGAAAATATTACTCAGAAAAACAGAAAAAAATACCATGAAATACAGGGAAAAAATACTCAGAAAAACAGAAAATATTACTCAGAAAAACAGAAAATATTACTCAGAAAAACAGAAAAAAAATACTCAGAAAAACAGAAAATATTACTCAGAAAAACAGGGTAAAAAATACTCAGAAAACCAGAAAATATTACTTAGAAAAACAGAAAAAAAAGTACCACAAAAAAACAGAAAAAAATTACCACAAAAAAAAAATAAAAAGAAAAAAAAATAACAAAAAAAAAAAGGAAAAAAATTACTCAGAAAAACAGAAAAAATTTCACCAAAAAACAGAAAAATAAATAAATAACTTTGAAAAACAGAAAGAATTACTCAGAAAAACAGGGCTTTTTTTTATTTGTCAAGTGAATGCAATACGCTGCCGTAGTGAGACACCAACTAAAACACCATGAAAAACATTATAAAAAAATGCTTTTATCCAGCATTATTTAATAGTTATTTTAACAGGTGGTTGATACATCCATGGTCAGGTTTGTGCTCTAAAGGTGGCACCTTTTTTTAAAATCTTGTGTTAAGCTTTCAGTCTCAAATCTTTTGTGTCCCCATACAAGAAAAGCGACATTGAAAACATTCTGGTAGTCATATATCTGAGTAATAGAGGTGGATATGTTCACTTATCTTTCTCTGATTTGATTCATTTTGATTCAGTTTTATTCTTCGTTCAAGACAGATGTCAAAGCACTTGTCAGATTTTATCCTTGAAACTTACATTTCTTTTTATTCCACGAGAAAGTAGCCGTCACATTTTTTTCCCCTTGCAAAAATAACCTTCTTCTCGACACTGTGATAATATAATTCCCACAATATTGACATTGTACACATCATGACGCCCTCACTGCACCAAGTAACCACAGTGGACACATACCATTTTATGCAAATGCACATGTATTTATTTAGTTAATGAAGTGATGCAGATGCAAAGATCAATCCGGAAATGTTTTACCCAGAACTGCAAAATGAAAAATGTCATCTAACTTTTTAAAGTTTTAATCCTTCGAATGTTAAAGATATAGTTCAGATCTTTTGAAGTGGGGTTGTATGAGGTACTTATTCATCGTCATATTAAGCCCCGTTTCCACCAAATACTTTCAGTATGGTACCTTTGGAACCAAAAGTAACCCTTCAGACATGGTACCTAGACTCTAGCGTTTCCACTGCAAACCGTACCCTTAAATGTGGGCGGGATTGTTGTCACTCACTGCTCCGTCCAGCACTCACTGTATTTCCTCATCCCTTAAAAACTTTTTACCCAGAACTGCAAAATGAAAATTAATCTGTCAACGTGCCGATCAACATTTACAGTAGGCAACACACTGACTATAGATAAGTACCTCATACAACTCCACTGTAAAAACTCCAAACTATCCTTTAATCTTAGAGTTTTAGTTAAATTTTGTTACTTACAGCTGCACTTATCAGCGCTGTCTATATTAACTATGAGTCAAAGTACATGTAGTTACTCTGACAACATGTTATGATAATGTAGTCGCTCATTCTAACAAATCCACAGATAATTATCATCCGTCTCCCAGTAGTTCCTCTCAGCTCCTTGGAGCCTTCCAGCCTCTCATAGCTCCGTATTTTGTTTTTTACGGCTCATTTACTGTGTGAACAGCCTTAACCCTGCTCCTACAGCAGCAGGTAGCTGTTTCCTGTTAACAAGCTCAGATAAAGCCACTGAACAGGAGTTCAGCACCAGACAGCAGACAAAGGTAGAGACTAGCTGGTAAAGAAAGGAGCGAGAGCCAGATATTGTTCTCAGGTGTTGGTGGAGCTGAAGAGGGAGACAAGATATGAGATTATAAATTAATGAAAATGTTTCTGTAGGTCTGATGGATGTGCTCTAATGACAGTGTTAACACTAGAACAAATTTTACTCTGATGACATGTAAAATATTAGTCTGCCAGCTTGTTTCAGTGCTCCCTATTGTCCCCAAAAATGATCCATGCAGCCTTAAAAGGTAACTTTGGTATTTTTAACCTGAACTTTATTTTCCCATGTTTTTGTGAAAACAGTGCAAAAGACACACACACACATCCCAGCGTCCAAAGGAGTGGGTGCTGGACCAAAGAAGCATCTGGCAAAGCAAAAAAAAAAAGTCTGCACACCAAGTAGCTCCTGTTTAGAAGGATTTTAATGCAGAGTGACGTTTGAGCCACACGGCTCTTCCTCAGATGTCTGATACGTGACAGAAAGTCGCCATCTTAAATACCCTCATGTGACATGCCACACCTGTAGCCCATATTCATAATAAAAATAAATCAAGAATATGTACCTGTGTACCCCAATATGGTACCAAAGCTACTTTTGAGCAATAAATAAGGGCATATACCAGCTTGTACACATTTTATATACATACGTCAAAAAACACATCTTGATATGTTACTGCTGTGACAGACTTTTTTTTTATTGTGTAATCAGAAAAAGCTTGGAAATCTTTATTGCCAAAGCCACCACATTCCATTTAAATAAACAGCAATTGTAGCGTGTATTAAGCCAACATGTTTTCACATCTAACTGGGTGAATTAAAGGTTTTATTTCAACCAAATGGGTAATTGTTGGAACAGTGGAAAGAAAAACAAAGACAGTTTTTATGAGTTTTATTACCTCCGCCAAGGAGGTTATGTTTTGGCTGGCATTGGTCTGTTTGTCTGTTTGTTTGTCTGCAAAATAACTCAAAAAGTTATGGTTTTTGATGAAATTTTCAGGAAAGGTGGATAATGGGACAAGGAACACATGATAGAATTTTGGTGGTGATTGGTTGAAGCAAAGTGGATAAAATAATAAATAAAATCTATCATCTGTCAGCCTCAGCAGCAATTCCAATTTCTAAAGGCGGTGAAAATAGCGCCATCTGGTAGCCGGAAAGCACGTCTTGTCCTACTTGCTAAATATTGTTGTAATTCTAAAGTTGAAATTAATGTTCTGTGTTGGAAAAAAATAAAGTGAAAAATACAAAAAAACATATTATATTCTGTGTTGGTACAAAATAAAAACGAAATAAATACACCACAGTGTCTCCATGGTGAAGGCATATATAACCTAATAATTATAGTGATGCAAATAACCTAATTGTGATGCAGGCTGCAAAATCTGATGCAGAGGGGGAGGGAATATCACCTACTTGGCGGAGGTCTTTTACAATGATAAAAATACAGTTTCTTTAAATGGCGTCTAGTGGTTTTGGTGATGGTGATTTCGGTTACACAAAAAAAATCTTACTCGTAAGACACTTAACACTTAAGGCCAAAACACACCGTCACCGAACAGCACGCATCAAGAAATACAGCCTTATTATTTTCAATGTACAACCCCACACCAGCGACAGCTAGTGGCATGTTGGTGCTCCTGTATATCTTCACACCACTGTCCTATTTCCAGGCTCGCCGCCCCTGCAATAAATTTATTTACCCCCGGACTCGCTCTCTGCTTGTACATACCAGCTCTTGTAGCAGCTCTCTTTCTCTGCTCCTCTGGCAGCTCGATTACTCTCCTCACCATAAAGCGATCTCTGTAACTGTCAGTGTCTTGTGTGTAACGAAGCCTGGATGAGAAGAGACTCGTCGTTAAGGTCGAGAAATATCTTGAGCTAAACGACCCACAATCCCGTTATTATACAGACCATGGCCAAAATGATATTGCCTGCTGAGTCATGGCTCTTAAGGTGATGTATCAACTTTTAAGGGTGTCCACGCATCGTTTTAAGCTAATGCAGAAGTGGAGGAAGTACAGATCTTTCAGTAAAAGTAGTAATACATTTGTGTGGTCGTCTTTTGACGAGCTGCAGCGCAATGCGTCTGCTGTGTGCTAGGGGCCGCAGTTGAATCGAGTCAGTGGGGTCGATGTGTCATTAGATTTAGGATAACAATCTGAGCCTGTCAGTGGCAAAAACAAGCACTTTAAATGGACGTAAATGGCCTCTTCTGTGGCTGCTCTCTCAATACTGGACCAGTTTCAAAACTGGTTGTTCCCATTAGTCACTTAGACACAAAAAAATGTGAAAACAGTCTCCAAATTTAAAATACCAGGTACCCCTTTAGACTGCCAAAAACAAAACCAGAAAATATTTTAAAGGATTCAGCTTTAATAAGTGGATTCAATACTTTATTCATATTCATTTAAAAACCATTGAACTGTTTAATGTCTTCACATTTTCAGGTCTTTTTATGATGCATGTCTCTGTGTTGCAGGACGTTCCTACAGCGTGTTCTCTCAGCGTATGTTGAATCAGTGTCTGGAGTCCCTGGTGCAGAAAATTCAGAGTGGAGTGGTGATAAACTTTGAGAAGACTGGACCTGACCCACCTCCTTTAGAGGGTAAGAGACACCTCTGTCTGTCTTAATGACATTTTATTCCCGGCTCTATTTCTGAAAAGACCTTTTTGACAACTGCTGCACTGCATCTGTTTGATTAGTGGAGAATCTCTTTTGCTCTCTCTCCCACTCAGTTTTTTTTAATCCTCTCTGAGCTTTTCTTTGCCGTGGCTGCTGGTGGATGTCACTGTTTAAACCCCCACCTTCATATTTAAACTGCCCACACACTGTTATGGTTCATCCAAATCACTCTGTTGTGTTTCGTACCTCACAAACACCTTCTTGTCTTTAACTGCTTACGGCTGTTTTCCCCGTGATGTCAGCTTCCTCTGTTAATGTGTGTGTCTGCTCAGATGCTCCAGCTGAGGCGGTGAAGTCCGGTCCACAGGCCTGGCATTGTTGTCACAAGCTGATCTACGTACGACCCAACCCTAAAACTGGTGTTCCCATTGGTCACTGGCCAATCCCTGAGGCCTTCTGGCCGGACCAGAACTCCCCCACACTGGTAAGGAACTTGTGGAGGAATTAACGACATGAAATCAACCTGGACCATTTATTCCCATGGTTTTTTTTCTAAGTAACTAATGAGAACAACAGATTTCTAAAGTTGTCCACTGTTGAGAAAGAGCACAGCAGTCAGCAGCAATGAAACAAGCTGCAATGTAACCATTCAGGACATTTGTGTTCTGTGAGTTTCAGGACCTGTTTTTGGGTCACAAGGGTCAAGCTGTGCCTTTAAAAACCATCCTTTCTTAGTCGTCTTCTCCAGTGCAGTAGTCATGAAGACGTGCACACAGAAAACAAAAGAGATTCAGACTGTTGTTTGGATTTTCACATTCTTCTGTTTGCATCTTGTGGCTGTACAGACAGTGAAAAAATGTGCAAAAGTGCAAATGTTGCAGTCCACGTTTGACTTTCCTCACTGCATGCATGATGAGTCACCCTGTATGTGGGTTATGCTACAGGTGTCATTACAAACATACCAAAACAACTCTATAGCACTGATGCATTCGCATACACAAGAATGTACAAGTGCACAAGCCGAAATTTGTAAGAATATTCATCAGTATGTGTATGAGAATGTGTCAGGGCTAGTTGTTAGGCTGTGTTTGTAATGACTTAACCTGCTGGCAATTGGCTTCATGTTTGTTCTGTCAAGCCCCAGTGACTGACTAGGTGCACCTGAAGAGTCACCCACATATAGGGTGACTCGTCATGCATGCCTCATTTTGCACGGAGGACAGTCAAACATGGACTGAAATGTTTGCACTACATGCACTTTTGCACATTTTTTTCACTGTCTGTAAAGTACTAAAGGTGCTTTCACATCTGCCCTGTTTGGTTCGGTTCAGTCGAACTCAAGTTTGTTTGCCCCCTATGTGCAGTTATTTGGGCAGGTGTGAACACGGCAATCACACTCAGGTGTGCACCTAAACAACCGGACCGAGACCTTCTTGAAGAGGTGGTCTCAGTCTGGTTACAAACGAACTCTGGTGTGGTTCGTTTGTGGTGAGAACGTGTTCTGACCTCGATCTGAACCAACTGCAGTCACATGACACATTGTTTGGGTTAAACATGAGCATGTTACAGTCCTGGAGGATTATTAATGTGCACCTCCTCCTGTACTGCCTTAATATGCACATTCAGCACATACAATGCATCAAAACATTGTATTCTAGTTGGAGCCGCGCCTCGTTTTCAAACTGTATGGTTTGACTAAAATGAACAATGACAGCAATATAGTCCACGATGAGCAGCGCTAAAATCAACCTGCGTAGTTGTCCCTCCATTGTGACATTAGAAAGTGTCACATTTATCTTGCAAGTGTACTCTTCTTCAACGTTTGCTTTACTTCCTGGATTTTTCCCACATGGAAATTCTGACCAATCAAGAGCAACTTTCTCACAAAGGCATTTGATATGGTCCGCTTGTAAATGCTGCCGTGAGAACATGAACCAACTCTAGGCAATTATACAACTTTGGAACAAAATTAGTGCCTGATTCAGACCAAAGGAGACAACTCTAGGTCCGAAAGCAACCCTCAGACACAAATCTTCTATACTTCTAATGTTTTTCAAAGAATGGACACAAGTGTTTTTGTTCCAAAGAAAGTCCATATATAATACAGATGAAACAGTGAGAAAGAGAAAGACATGAAAAGTATGTTTGTTTGTACAGACGCTCAACAAAAAGGTCACACAGTACCTGCAATAACAATGGAGCAAATAGAGTAGAGAAGGTAATAAAACAGAATTACACGGCCCAAATATATTGCACAATATAACAAGGAAAAGTACAGCACAGGAAGCTGAGAGCAGAAGGAACTCAGTGTTTCCATTTCATCAGATTAAGAACAATACAGGATTTCAGTGCCAGTTACTGACAATTTTATATCTGATATATAATCAGGATATGTAATAGGCAATATATTTAATGTGTATATTTCATATTGTTAACAGACACAACAAGCACAACATGTACAGAACAGCTGGTATGTTGTAGTGAAGCTATGTTAAATATCAGCTGGAAGATATTGACAAATCCTGAGCTCAAATGGGAGATCAAATCATATAAACAGTATTTCGTGTCCATTATTATACCTACATGATGATTTTTACAGTGCAGAATGTTAATGTGATGTAGCGTGGACTCTTAACAGTATGTACCTCTCCCTCTGTGACCCACACAGCCCCCCCGCTCAGCCCACCCCCACGTTCGTTTCTCCTGTCTGGACGCTGAGCCCATGGTGATCGACAAGGTGCCCTTCGACAAATACGAGCTGGAGCCGTCGCCTCTCACACAGTACATTTTGGAGAGGAAGTCCCCACACACCTGCTGGCAGGTAAAGCACCATCGCAAACACAACAGTTATTGAGAAAGGACTTCAACATAAAAGCTGAAATCTATAATGCTTTTACACTTTGCATGTGGAGGTTCGATGATAATTTAATTCCATCACACAGCTGGATACTGATATTTGATGTTCCACGGTATTTGTGGTGACTTGATGGAGACTTTAGAGATTTTATCCCTGATTCAAATGAATATTCATCAAAGTAATACTTTGCCGATTTTCAGCCGACACAATATCATCATAACAGTGTAGGTAGTATGTTTCAATGAACTATAGTAAACGTCCCTCCATCTCACCAGTGCCTAGATCTCCCTGCACAGATCTGAGGTGGCTCTGGGGCTGTTGCTCAGACTATAGACTGTACTTCCACATTAAGACACAGAGTATAGAGACGGATTGAGAGAGACCCGACTCTCTGTGTCTCAAACTGAGACCAAACTTCGATCAAACTGTCAAACAAGGCAGCGCTGATCAAATATAAACCGAGATCCTGTCACTGTATTGCCTAATTCTCGCCCCAAATGTTCTTAGAAACATATTTTAGTGTACTGTTTAGCTGTATCAGGAGAGTTTGCAAACAGGAAGTGAGCTCCATACAGTCTCCTGTGTTCTAAAAACGGAGGCTGATCACATGTGAACCAAGATTTGGTATCTGAGTTGCCTATTTCCTGCCTAAAATGTCTTCGAAAACATACTTAGCTTACGTAGGCTATGGCTAAATGCCCGACAAAAAATATGAAGAAGCAGCAGGTGTGACAGGTGAAGCTGAAGGTGAGGAGCGAGGCAGAGTCAATTTCAGCGAATAAAACCTGCTGTATCAGGCTCAGTTTTAAAGCTACAGTGAAGACACAGGTATCATATTAAACTAGACGACCTAAGGCATCCATCGGTATTAACCATGTACGGCTATCTTGTTGGAAAGGGGGACAAATAATGCTCCAAATTTACACTAAATTTTGGTCAGGGAAAAAGGAATATTGCCATAATGTAAATAAGTAAACAGGGCTCCGTCTGCGCAGTCTGTCTCAAGGTCAGGTGCTGGTCGGCCACAGGAACATCTCAGATGAAATCATAAACATAAACCACCGCACACTGAACTGAATTACTGTGATTTTTTGGGGGGCACAGGCTGGAGTCGAACCCAGGCCGCTGCGGCAACAGCCTTGTATCCACTAAGCCACAGACGCCCCAAATTACTGTGATTTTATTGAGAGCGAACAACGCATTTCGCCCTTGGCTTCTTCAGGTTCGCTCATGAGCACTCACAGGTGTGCTAAATATACCTGGGTCACGTGACGAATTATCACAGTTATTTCACTTTTTCTTTTTCAGTATTTTTTCTGTCATGTTCTTCAAAAACATTTTTCAAAAGATAATTCACATTTTATCCAAAAACACATGATAAATTTATGCAAATTACATACATAAAAAAAAAAATCAAGAATAATATGTGGTTTAAGGTTGTTCACTCTCAATAAAATCACAATCAGTTCAGTGTGCGGTGGTTTGGTTTAGGATTTTACTTGGTGTACATAAATATTTCTGCACACTGAGGTCCCTTAACAGTCTTGGAGCTGCATAAATTGGGTTTGACTGGAAAACTGTGACTTGGCAACCAAATACTCTTACATTATTTCAGTTCTGCACACAATCTGACCAATATTTGATGAAAGTAGCCTCAAGTTTGAATTAATAAATGAAGAAAAATATTAGGTTTACTTGTTCACTCCTGATTTGATCTTACGATTCAATAACCTGCAGTAATTTCCTTTTTATCAAAGTTTGATTTTACTTTTCTGTAATCATTCACTGGAGGGCATTTTCTCAACCCAAGACACACATGTGACTGCCTCTGCTTTTCAGAATAAGAAAACAAGGTCTTAACAGTAGATACAAAGTACACATGGAAATATGGATTATATTTGCAAAAATGTATAGGGGCTCCCTCCCACCACTTTTGAGAATGTTGTCCCCCATCCCTATTTCCTGACGGCTGGCCTGTCATGTGGTACCAATTTCAAAAGTATTTGTGTCCTTCTGCTGCATAGACAGCCCAGATTTATGAGAACACCATTACATTCCAGCAGTCAGATACTTCTTTGCACCGTATAGAGGAAATAACTGAGTGTCTGTGATGTGGTGAATAATGAACGAGTGAGCAAAGGGCTGATTTCTGACACTGCGACTGTGATAAACCGTTCAATAAATGATGCAAACTAAATATCGTGGCACTCACTTTAATGTTAGTGTGCGACTATTTCAGGTTACGCTAACATGCTAATGTTAGCACTACAGCAGCTCAAAGGAGAGCTGGGTTTAAATACGAAGCTGAAGACAGATGAAAGAGGATAAAACATGATTTAGACATCATGATTTTTGCTCTGTTGCCTCCCTCAGGTCAACTTTACATTTTCTGGCCCCTCTAATAAAAACATATTTTCCATTTTTGATATATCCCACATTTTTGCGTCGACTGTAAACTCCGACTTGTTTTTGTCTGCCCTTTTCAAAAGCAGGCGGTTAAAAACTCAAGTGGAAACATTAACTTAACATCACAGTAATAAATGCAGAGCTATCATAAGCTGTGTCCTACTTAGCCAGAGGTTAGTTGAGGTGAAAACATTAGCTTAAAATTCACAGAGGGAGTGTTTAAAGTGCAGTCTTCTCTTTAAAGAGACCGTTTCAGCGTCGGGTGTATAAACACAGCTCAGGCTACACATCCTGTTGGTGCTCACATCCTAGTGAACCTGCGGCTTGTTGAGTCACTTAACAAACTTTCTGCAGGTCATGTGTTTGTGTTTGCAGAATGACGACACACATTCATTGTTTTGTTTTTTTTTGTTTTTTTTTTTTTTTGTATCTGTCTGTTTTAGGTGTTTGTGTGTAACAGTGCCAAGTACAGTGACCTGGGCCAACCCTTCGGCTACTTAAAGGCCAGCACGGCTCTAAACTGTGTCAACCTGTTTGTGATGCCCTACAATTACCCAGTGCTTCTGCCACTTCTGGGTAAGACTGATGGATCTGTGTCATGTTTGGTAATCTCACCACATTTTTAGTGGCGCTGTTTTTGCTCCGGTGACATCGCTACTTCCTGGTAACCTGTCATTATTGTTCATTCAACGAGACGTCGAGCCTTAGCACCTGTATTTGTTCTTGAGATTAGTGTCATGTCATGTTTTGTATGTGTGTGTTTGTGTGTGTGTGTGTGTGTGTGTGTGTGTGTGTGTGTGTGTGTGTGCGCGTGTGTATTTCCTCCACATTCCTCAGCACCTGTAAATGAACGTGAACATGTGTGCTATTAATAGTAAGAGGATCGTTATCGTTAAGTCATTAAATTCATTCTGATTTTGGACAGGATTTAGGAAATGGAATTAATCCCTGAAATAGCGCAACATAACCTTGAGGCTTTAATATAGAACATGTTGCATATGAACATCATTTTTTCAATCTGTACTTATTTGCTTTGATTGTTTTCTTGCAGACGACTTAATCAAAGTGCACAAGTTCAAGCCCACCATCAAATGGCGGCAGTCCTTTGAGAACTACCTGAAGACCATGCCTCCGTATTATATCGGGGTCAGTGAACTTTATCTCCTTTAGCTCTTTTATAAAATTTGATTGAGAGTCAAGGACCATGAAAGACGCTGCAGTGGTCTTATTGCTTCCTTTCTTTCCACAGTCCCTGAGGAAGGCTCTGAGAATCATGGGAGCACCGAACCTGCTGGCTGACAACATGGAGTACGGCCTGAGCTACAGCGTGGTCTCCTACCTGAAGAAGCTCAGCCAACAGGTGAGAAGTTGGGATGTTGTCGGCCGAGTGAATTGCATTATTTTTCTCCGACTCCAGCTGCTATGAGAGGCATCCTTTCATTTTATAGTTACAGTTTACTAATAAAACTCTCCACAGTATGAACAGTTGTTACATGAGCCTCAAAACCAGACACAACTCAGCCCTGAGCAGAGTGACCGTCCTCTATTGACCAATCAGACTGCAGTGTTCACAGCTCCACCTTTTAGTACCAGATCTGTGTGCTAGGTACCCCAACAGAGGGGGGACCAAACATGGGGACGGTACAGAACGGTTCCATTGGTACCATCCACAACTTTTCACAGTGGAAATGGAAAAAAGTACCATACGCTACTGCTCAGTGGAAATAGGGAGACAAGCTCATATCTGAAAGCACCCTGAATGTAACAGCTTTCAAAATGCACCCAGTCATTTTACTTATTTGCTCACATTTTCAGTCAAAAATCGAGTACGACCGCCTGATCGCCTTGATCGGTAAGAAGCAGCCACCAGAGGCTGGCATCAAGGTGCGTTGGCGAGGCGGAGGCATATCTCTGGCCCAGCGCAGGGACTTCATCCAGCAGCTGCAGAGTCTCTCAGGAGAGGCTCCGACTCTGCCCATGGAGCTCAACCCCAAAGAGTTCCAGGGCTTTCAGCTGGCACTGCTCAACAAGGTAATTTGTCTGAGGATAAACAGCTTTAATAAGCGAGAGTTATTCAGTCAACATTTTCTTTTACTCTTGTCTACTGAGCTACATTTACTGGGGCAGTGGTGATATTCAATGTTCAACTACACTGTGACCTCACTGTTACTCATTCACTTCCTGCTCACACTTTCCCTGCCCTCCTGGCTCTCCACACAACATCCTCCTGAGGTGTTTATTGAGATGTTTTATACAGTTTGTTTGGGTGCTTGAGGGCTTTGGCTTGTGAAAAATGGCCATCTCTCTCCAACTGTATCAGCTGTAAATCCACCCTGTTACAGCCAAAGTTCGACAGTATTTCACCAGAAAACGACTGTCTTTATTGACTTGAAGGAAGGCTGGCTTTAAAGTCGCATTCCTACCATTACAATCCCGTCTGTCTCGTGTCCTCATCAGGGCCTGAAGCCACAGAGCTTTAGGAATCCCTACGACATCCCCCGCAGCCACCTGCTGGACCAGCTCAGCCGAATGAGGAGGAACCTGCTCAACACCAGCGTCTGTACTCTCAGAGGGCAGGACTCAGGTAAGTCACCATGCAAGTGTGGTTCTCACACATTCCTGGAACCACACCTCAAACTGATGTCAGCATTTAAAAAATGTAACCGCTAAGTGAACTGAAGGTCATCAGAAAGAACAATATTCAGCTGGTGTTAAGTTCCAGTGAGGTGAAAACAGATGTTCAGCGGTTTTAATCCAGTGTCTCTACGCTAATTCTTCATGTATCTCTTGTTATATGCCAAATATATGTCAGATAAATCAGTGTAAGAGTATTAGATCATAGGGCTGCACAATTAATTGTATATTAATCACATGATTTTGGCTTCCCACATTTAAATGAACATGATTGACTGCAGTACCGACAATTAAAATACATGCTCTGCTCATAGAAATCTGCGCTGCATATCAAATCAAATGCTTCCTAAACTAACAGCCGATGCATGAAGGCCAAGAAGAGTCACGTTGCTAACATTACCTCACTGGATCCCCATCCTGTGCTGAGTCAACTCAGACATCTATAACAGATGTTATGAGCTACAGCCCGTCTAAATACCGATACCATTACAGTGGTGCATACGTAACCGTCCAGTTCCCACAGACATGCTGACATAACAAATGCAACTGTACTTGGCCAAAGATATGTAACCAATCAACACTCTTTTCATTTGGTTGCATTTTGTAATGTCATTTTTTTTTTTATTAAAGCTATATTCAAGATACAAGTTTATTTATTTAGCTTTATTTTGAGATTTATTTTGATATGATTTAACTTGATTAAAGCTATGGTCTACGTTTAGAAATACGATGAGAAAGATTTGAAAAAAGCATTCCCCCCAAACACACACCCCTCCCTCTGTGCTCCATGACCCCTCCCCTCCGAGCTTCCTAACGACACACCCCCTCCCGCACAGCAACATACAGTTACATACAGCATACAGTTATCTGTGTCACAACATCCACAATAAAAACAAAATATTACCTATTCAACAAAAACTCCGCTGTATCAGCGTCACTTTTCAGGCCCAGATCTTGCCGGAGCTTTCTCCATCGGTCAAAGGATGACCCGATGCTATCTCTGCTTTGAGCCCTCAATTTGTCGCATTTCCTCTTCGTTTCTGCCTTTTCAGAGGCAGACTTACGCTTCCTTTCGGCCTTTGCCGGTGGGGCAAGCAGAGGCCGCTTGCTGCTGTCGCTCTCTTTATTTTCCATATCGAAACTCGTGTAGCTGAATCGCTCAGGGCCTTACAAACCGCTCGTACTTTCAAAGGGGGGTTGGGACGAGGCGGGACGAGGAGCAGATGAGTGTCAAAATGGAGCGAGGGGATTGGACGGAGGGTAAGAGAGAGAGAGTGCAAATTTGAGCAAGGAGTAACTCCCATGCGGACCGGACGGCTGTGGTTGGTCAATTTCTTTGCAGGCCTGCAGCCGCCAGAGAGAATGGATTTTTTTGGTTCCTTTTGCTCTTCACATTGTGTAGCTAGCACTATTGGGCCATAACCACCATCTAAATTATGTTAATAATAATGATCTTTCTAAACATAGACCATAGCTTTAACAAAGAAAAGTCTTAGAATTTGTCCTGGTTCCCAGATTGTAATCTGTTTCATATAAATACACATAAATACAAAACAAAGTTTAACCAAACAACAAAACCATACTACAAACTAGGGATGAGCGAATACACTGTTATCTGTATCTGTTCAACCAACTAAATTATCTTTATCTGTGTCTGTATTCTGGACTGGTGGGGTTTAAGCCAGAAGTGGTCAGGACCTAACTGGAAGTTGTTATTTTAAGCCTCACTGGATGAAAATCTCAAAACACAGTGGAAAAACCAAGCAGGGCTTCCAAAGGCAAAATCATAACAAGAAAAAATGAGGGAACCCACTGTGAAGCAAAGAACACACCCTGAGCCATTAAAGGATGTGTTCTTTGCTTCACAGTGGGTTCCCTCATTTTTTCTTGTTATTTTGAGCCTGAAATTGATATGGAAAAATCTCTGAAAACAGCTACCCAAATGAGGATTTTCCTTCCTCATGAGCACAGATATTGACACATTTTATTTGTATGATACGCACAGTCGTAAAGTACATTATCAGTACCGTACCTGGTTTTAATCGAGTAATCAGCTCAACCCTCCTACAGTCTCTAGAAATCCCATTACCAAAAGTGGATGCAACAAATTAATCATTCCTGCTACATTCAGTTTTCGACCCAGGTACACTGAGGCTACTTAGAAGCCACACTATGATTTAAGAGGTTGACAAACTCAGTAACGAAAGTCCCTATGTCTGCTCAGTCGAGCAAATGCAAAGATTTGTTAACTAGCAGGAACGTAGCACAGTGTGGAAGTGTAAGCAATGCTTTGTTTATTTAAATATTTAAGTGCAATAAAAATAATTTTCCTTTTTATAATCAATGACTAATAATGATTTCAATATTGAGCAAAACAATCTTGATTATCATTTTGGCCCTAATCTTCCTGCAGCCCTGACAGAAAGAGATAGGAAAAGATATGAGTGTTTGGATATCAGTGGGCAAAACCTTTGTTTTTATTTCCAAAACAATGAAACAGAGGTCTAATTTCCTCATCTCTCCCTCATCCTCCTCCTGATTTAACAAGGGAGGTGTGTGTGGAGCCAACAGTCTGTTCCGTCAATATCTCTGTACCTCGTTAAACTCTAAGCCCGTCCACTTTTTAGTGGTCTAATCAAATGCAGATGATTCGATTTAAATCCATCTCATTCTTGTAACTGTACACCGCTCAAGTTTTCTCTTTCATGTTCCAGTAGAGAAGCTAAAGACGCACTAACTTCTGTCTAACTGAGACTTTAAGAGCGAAACCTGTAAAATTCATGTTGAATCTTCCTGTCTCCTGTCCAGACCAGCTCCACAGCGTGCCAATAGCCCAGATGGGCAACTACCAAGACTTCCTCAAAGCTGCTCCTCAGCCTCTTCGAGACGCCGACCCTGAGCAGCCCAAACGCCTCCACACATTCGGCAACCCCTTCAAACTGGACAAGAAGGTAACATATCAACCCTGATCATCTTTCATGAGCAACACACTGCTGTGTAACAGGTAAACTGACCATCTTCCGCACTCTCTCAGGGCATGATGATCGACGAGGCGGACGAGTTCGTGACCGGCCCTCAGAACAAGGGGAAGAGACCGGGAGACAGCAGCAACATGACGGGCGGAGGGCCCAAGAGACGGCGCTGCATGTCGCCTCTGCTGCGGCTGGGCAGAGCCTACACGCCTCCAGTAACGCCCCCTGCCAGCCCTCGACCCACAGGTATGATTATACACGTCTGTCCAACTCAGATGACAAGTGTTAGAAACAGTTTCACACACTGATCAGTTTTCAGTCCTTGTTTTTGACTGCTTGAAGCCAGTTGTGCTGAAACAATTCTTTTATTCAGTATTAACTGGCATTATTCGAAGTCTGTGATAATTCTGACTGAGCACAAATCTTAAAATACCTGAATAAGCAAACAAACATGGCCGCTGTCAGCTGAAGTGTCGTTCAAAGCAATTCAGTGCAGATGTGATGATTTAGTGCTCAACAAAATAAATCTTGTTAAATCTCCGATCCTGCAGACATGGACATGAGCGACGGAGCACCTGAACCGGACCTGATCATCAACCACCTGAATCAGAACCACTACGGCTCAGACGGGAGCTCGGACTCAGAGGCAGACCATCCCTCAGGGCCTGCCAACCACCAGGAGAACCACACGGCCGCAGACCCCGAGGACCTCCGACACGGGGACGACGACGAGGAGAACGGGCAACCCCGGGCGGGAGAGTTTTCGCCGGGCAGCGAGGAAGGAGTGGAGATGGTGATGATGGACGACCAGACGCCTCGCTACCTGTCACCTGCAGCTCTGAAGAAACACATTCACATGGAGACGACGAAGGTCAACAATGAGCTGAGGACGCTCATCACCAAGGAGATCAGGAAACCTGGCAGACGTATGTAGTCGAACACACACTGAGGGGGGGCTTTTTTTTTAAATTTTACAAAATAAGACTTAATCACAAATAAATAGTTTAAATCTTTAACCCTATGGGCCCGAAGGACGCATTGTGCGTCCAAATTCACACCCGTTCTTCTCTATGGATTTTCTCCGCGACCGTGCGTCATAGCAAGAAGCCACACATATCACGTGAAACAGCAAAATTCTAGCTTTCCGACAAGACCAAGCACTTGTCAGTAGTCCAGTGTTTTCATAGTGAAAAAAAATGATAAAATTACACTAAAATCATGAATAACAGAGCTTTCATACAGCTCTGCACACACATTACTGTTGGATGGATTACTCGCGAACGCAGGCTCGCGCAGAAATGCCACGCATATCACATGAAAGCGCAGGAGCAGAGCTTTCCAGTGATACCACACACATCATTGTGCTGTCATCCCATCATGCTATAAATCCAGATTTATTGTCTACAAAATAAAAACCTGAAGAATTTCTTCAAAATCCATTATACAGATCTTGTTATCAGTCACTTCATATAGTGAGGAATATCGTATCTCACCACGTCTTAGGCTTGCGTGTGTTTCTCCCTGTCTATCCACATTTGTAGTCCGGCTTTCAAGATGCAAATATCTCCATATTGTCCAGTTGACACTCCATCAAACTTTGTATGACAAGACCAGCCACTTCACCTTTGCACACCCAGACAACTCTAGCCTAATTATGCATGCTGACAGGGCCGTAGTCACCATATACAGTACAGGCCAAAAGTTTGGACACACCTTCTCATTCAATGCGTTTTCTTTATTTTCATGACTATTTACATTGTAGATTCTCACTGAAGGCATCAAAACTATGAATGAACACATGTGGAGTTATGTACTTAACAAAAAAAGGTGAAATAACTGAAAACATGTTTTATATTCTAGTTTCTTCAAAATAGCCACCCTTTGCTCTGATTACTGCTTTGCACACTCTTGGCATTCTCTCCATGAGCTTCAAGAGGTAGTCACCTGAAATGGTTT